CATGAACATTGGTACTCTGACATTATCCCTCACTGAATAGGGAAGTCATGTAATTCTGACAAGTAGTAAATGAATTATACCACTAACCTGCCAGGGCGGTTATCATGAAGGAATAAATTTATTATCTATAAAGCATGTGAAACTAATGTTTGATGCCCAGTACAATCATAAATGTGTTAAGCAAATAAAGCAATAGCTAAAAAATTTGTTATCCTAAATTAATTGCAACAGAATAGAAAATATCAGAATATAGGAAATAATAAGTAAAGAAATAGCTAAACAGGTTTTTGTTTTAACCTAATTTTAAAAAAATGGAAAATGCCAGAATGTAATAACCAGCAAGAATGACAGCAGCCTGTTCAAGTTTGGCTACAGTTACCCACTTATACAGTTATAAAAGTATGAGGAGTAATGTCATATTTCCGAGCCTTAAGTTCATGTTTAGTTCTTCTATTGGCCTGATCCCATCACAAAGAGAAATGTTTCCCTACAGATACAAGCCGAGCAGCAAGCATCTCCATCCCAGCTAACAAGGCTGCGTGCGTCTCTTCCCACTCCACGGTCAACGTCAGTGATACCACTGTGGTACCTGCCATTGGTCGTCAAGAGAGACTTCAAACCACAGAAACCAGCAGGTGCTAGCAGTCAGGACTTCCCTCTACCCCACCTAGGAGGGGCAGTTGCTTCAACACTGACTACCACACTATTCTTTGTGCTCAGACTGAATGTGCATTGTCACCCAACAATAAGCAGGAACTCAGAAAAATTCATTCATAAATTCTCAGCTGTGGAAAAACTGAGGTAACTTACTTTACAAAGGGGGCTGAAATGTTATCTGCCAAATTCAAAAGTGCTAAGATCCAACTTCAATGCCTCGCCATGTACTGTGCAAATCTGACAATCAGTGAATATGTCATTTGTAGGTTTCAGACAAAGTGAAATCCTATAAAAACTGCTTTTGATCTGAGAATCCAACTGAAAGAAATAGTTCAAAGAATAGTTTTCCTTCAACCATTACTTTATTCTAACTTCATCTAGCACTGGGCACGAACAGCTGGCAAAGACTAATCCTGAATACCTTTAAACAGTAAAATAAAAAGTTGAAAGTGTTCTGAATATAAATAATTCTAGACGAAAATGGTGTGAGATGTCTCTACCAGTAAGCCCTCCATTACTACAAATACTTATTCAGTGCTTGGATACAGACAAGAGCAAAGAAGCCTAATGGGGTCCAAGTTGGGTGATCCAAAAGGACACAGAAAGGAATGGACATGCCCCATGGCCTCCAGAGCAGCTGCTTAGCTTTCATGACACAGAGGTGCTAGTGCAGTGCCCACTGGGCCACAAACCCCATGAGCAGAGGCCTCTGCCTGTTCTACTCACCCTTGTGTCCCCCGCTCCTGGTGGAGTACCTAGTACTGGAATGGAATAGAACCACCATAGAGATTTGCTAAGTAAAAGGTAGGAGGAATATTTAACTGGAGTCTCTTAGCATGAGGGAACAATGAGAATCCTAGGGGGAAAATAATCTTACACTGAAGCAAGTGAACCAAAACAAAAACCCAGGGCCCAGTAACAATCCTTTGGAGTCAGTAGGTAAATGGAGGACTCTGCAGTCTGCCACTCACTGCCGTCTGGCTTCTGTCCTAAAAAGAGTCCTTTAAGCAAGGCCTTGAGAACAAATTCCACTAACAAACCCTAGAGGATGTGGAGTGCGTCTGGCAGTGCAGCCTGGGAGCCTGCAGAGCTCAACAGTAAGGGAAGCTGTGCATGGCAACAGGCCCGGGAGAGCCTGCCAGTGCTGCGTGGCACTTGCATAGCCTGGCTGGGCTTGGATTGACAGGGAGATGGCACCAACAGTAGCAGTTCAAAGCATTTCAGAGGCCTCCCAGGTCAGATGTGTGACTCCAAGAAGACTGGATGAGTTCACTGGAAGCAGTCTTTGGAACCCTTCCCCCTAGGAGGAGTTGGGCTCCAAAATAGCAGGGGAGGCAGAGTGTGAGGAAGCCTGTATTCCCACAGAGAGGACTGCACTAGTAATAAACACACAATAGAAGCAAAAAGTAGCCACATGTGTCTGCTTATTTTGCAGGCAATTCATTCTCCCAGATCCAAGACAAGAAAATTTTGATTTTTGAAAACCAATGATCATTCCTTTCACTTCAAACTCAGGCCATAGCTTTTTTTTTTTTTTTTTTTTTGGTTCAAAATAATATGTGAAACAAGGCTTAGTATTCTAAATTAACTCATGCTGAACTCTTCATGAGTTCTGGTCACTTTTCCTGAAATATTTATTTCAATTTTATCCTGTACCTCTCAAAATATCTCATTGTAGATACTAAGTTGGTCACACCGTTTTGCTCTTCTCCAGCAAGGTAAAATTGTTAGGAACAAGTGAAGAAGCTTTAATCAAGAGGATGAGAACCCCTAAGGTTCTGGGCATGTTGGCATGGACCTCGCCCTACGATGACTTGTGGCTCCATCCACATGGATCAAATCCTCACAGCTGGGACTTCATTGGGAGGCGTAAATCACAGGATCTTGCCCAGGCTACTTATTTCTTGACAACAGAAAAAAAAAAATCTGACTGGTACACTTTCCTGAAACTTCCTTCTTCTAAATAGCAAAGGAGCTTGGGGGTTGGTGGCGGGGAGAGGGGGTGTGGTGGGGGGAAATGAAAGGAAACATCCGCCCTTTTTGCCATAGCCCTGAACACAGCGTTCCTCATATCCAACTCTGAACATGTTGCAAAATAACACGTTATGGAAACCAGCTCACACACTGGGCTCATACTGTATAATAAGCTATTTCTTAAAAAGAAACAAAGAGGAACTCAAAAATGCCATTCATATTGCCCAGAAAAAAAGCAATGCTCTCCTTTTTCATTCCTTTCAACCACTGTTCTGCTTCTTACATTCAAGTCTGTTAGGATGTGACGAACCACATTTCAAAGAAACCAGTAGGAACTTGGATTAAATTTCTCAGCTTTTGTCTGGACATTTCTCCCAGCTTCCATATGCTCTCTGGTCAGGAGTTCTTTACCAGAAGGGGCAGCTGATGGTGTTTTACATGGATGCCAGATTCTTTCTCCCTATTAATCAATAGGTATAGGTCATACATATATGCATTTTTTAAAGAATTATTTTGGATTGTTTTGAAAGGCAGAGAGGGGAGGAAATATCTTGTTCACTCCCCAGATGGCTGTTCGTATAGAGCTGGTCCACGCTGAATACAGGAGCCAGGAACTATGGCCAGGTCTCCCACATGACTCAAGCAATTAGGGACCTACTTGCACTGCTTCCCCATGCGCATTAACAGGGAGGCTGATCAGGAGCAGAGCAATGAGAACTAAAACAGATGCTCTGACACAGGATCCCAAGCACTGCAAGCAGGGGTTTAACCCAAGGCACAATCCATGTGTGTTCATGTTTAAATTTTTTTAACATTTATTTTTATTGCAAAGTCAGATATACAGAGAGGAAGAGAGACAGAGTTAGATGTTCCATCCAATGGTTCACTCCCCAGGCAGCCGGAACGGCCAGAACTGAGCTGATCCAAAGTCAAGAGCTAGGAGCTTCTTCTGGGTGTTCCACACGGGTGCAGGGTCCTAAGGCTTTGGGCCATCCTCAACTGCTTTCCCAGGCCACAAGCAGGGAGCTGGATGGGAAGCAGGGCTGCTGGGATTAGAACCGGTGCCCATATGGGATCCTGGTACATTCAAGACAAGGACTTTAGCAGCTAGGCCACCAACCGGGCCCATATGTGTGCATTTTTAAGACCCTTCTTGTAGATCTGCTGAATACCCAGGAAGTAGAATTGCTGAAAACATGTCAGCAGACAGTGCCTGTTTGCCTGGAAATAAATTCAGTAAGAATCACAGTTGCTGTTCATTTAAGAATTGTATGTTTTGCTAAGTCAGTTAAAAAAAAAAAAAGATTCAGAAAGGCATTGCTCCTTTTCCTCCCTCAATTTCTGTTCTGCAAACCCCACAGCTGACCAGTTGTGTGGTTCTGTGACTTTTGCAGTCAATACCAGAGAAACACTTGAGAAAAATCAGTCTCGTTTGGTCACAGAACGAATGCCCACTGCACTCTTCGTTGTGCTCTCAGCATTGTTCTAACCTGCATGCGTCTGTCCCTAACCCTCTTTATTCCTTCCCCCACAGCAGTGACTCCAGAGCTTCCCCATTCTGTTATATTTATTTCATTCCCTCTATCTCTGTTGTTCTCAGCAGAAAATGTGCTTCCTACTTCACAAAAGAAAAAAAAAATAAGATGGCAGAAGCCACAGTGAATTTTCTCTGCTTTCTTTCTCCCTATCCACCAATATTATTTTTACAAGTGAATTACCTGAGGAAGTTTGAAAATTACTAGTAGATGGGCTCCATTACTAAAAAAAAAAAAATAAGATTTATTTGTATTTATTTGAAAGGCAGAATTACAGAGTGGGATGAAAAAGAGAAAGAGTGATTGAGAAAGCACTTCCACCTGCTGGTTCATTCTGCAAGTGGCTGTGATGACCAAGACCAGGCCAGACAGACGCCAGGAGCAGCGAGCCAGGAACTGCATCTGGGTCTCACCCATGGATGGTACGGGTTGTCAAGGTCACAGCCAGTGACTCCTCCTGCTGTGCTACTATGCTGGCTTCAACATGAACATTTTTAATAACCCCTTTGTTCATACTAATGTACAGCCAAGGGGAACACAGCTCCTCTTAATTAAAAAAATAAATCAAAATCATTCAATAAAGCTTTCTTTCTAAAAATCTTTCTGTTCCCCGATTCCAACCCCAGAAATCTTGGGTTCAGTTAATCAGGGGTGCCTAAATAGATGGGAGGAATACAACAGAGGCAAAGACTTATGTTTTTCATTAGATAAAAGCAATTAATGAAGTAAAAGATTTTCATATCTAATTTATTGGTTACTTACAAATTTTTAAATGTGCTCTTTCTCTTATTAAACACTTAGCAAAGTACACATTAAAAAAAAATTTGGCCTTTTTGCCTCCACTGCCGCCATGGCGCCCGTGAAAAAACTTGTAGCGAAGAGGGGTAAAAGAAAAAAGAAGCAGGTTCTGAAGTTCACCCTTGACCGCACCCACCCAGTAGAGGATCACATCATGGACGCTGCCAACTTTGAGCAGTTTCTCCAAGAGAGAATCAAGGTAAAGGGGAAGACTGGGAACCTCGGCGGCGGGGTGGTGAGCCTCGAGCGGAGCAAGAGCAAGACCACCATGACATCCGAGCAGCCTTTCTCTAAAAGGTATCTGAAGTTTCTAACCAAAAAATATTTGAAGAATAACCTACTTGACTGGCTGTGCATAGCTGCTAACAGCAAGGAGGGCTACGAGTTACAATACTTCCAGATCAACCAGGACGAAGAGGAGGAGGAAGATGAGGATTCAACTCGTTTCTTTGCAATATTTTGTATGAGTTCTTGACTAAAACTTGGGAACAAAATAATAATAATAATAATATTATAAAAATAAAAATAATATGGGGTCTGGCACAGTAGCCTAGTGACTAAAGTCCTTGCTTGCAAGTACCAGAATCCAATATGGGCATTGATTCTTATACCAGCTGCTCTACTTCAGATCCAGCTCCCTGCTTGTGGCCTGGGAAAGTAGTCAAGGATGACCCAGAGCCTTGGGACTCTGCACCTGAGTGGGAGACATGGAAGAAGCTCCTGTATTCTGACTTCAGATCGGATCAGCTCTGGCCATTGCAGCTGTTTGGGCAGTAAATCAGCAGATGGACAGTTTTTCTCTGTGTAAATCCTTGTCTGTGTAAATCTGACTTTCCAATAAAAATAAAATAAATATTTGTTTAAAATTGGTAAGTAATGCTCCCTCATAGTGAAAACAGTTTTTAAGCATAATTGCAGACACTGAACCATAAAGAAAATGTTGATAGCTTAAAATATGTCCGAAGTTAAATTCTCTCTACACCAAAACACCTAGTAAAATTAAAAGGCAAATGATAACTTTGAATAATATGCTTCATCTATGACAGGCAAAGCTTAACACCCTTGATATTTATAGATCTCATGAGTCTGTGGCTTAAAAACAAAAAGGAACAGACATACCAACAGCAAACACATCAAGGGCAGAGATACGCAAGTATACAAACAGTCAGTAAACCTGTGAGGAAGTGTTAATTCCACGAACTTCTTCTAAAAAGCAAACTTGAAAAGTGATAACATATATTTTTGTCTATGAAATTGGCAAAGATAAAGTGGTTGACAACAAACAGGTGATTTTTTTTACACTGACATTTAGAGGGGCCATCAGGGCTTTCATTAGAGAGCAATCTGACATCACCAGAAATTCCACAGCTACACATTGACCCTAAGAAAATAATCATGTGTGCTTCTGAGGTCTCAGTAGCGTCTGGCCCTAGTCTCCAGGGATTAAAGCGACTGCACAGAAGGACTTGGACTAGGGCCCTTGTGAGCAGATTTATTTGCAAACCTTACCCTGTCAACATCATAACTGGCACCTCTCACTGATGTGACAGTGGAAACCACCTCCTTTGCAAAGCGCTGAGGTTTTCCACCCAAATAGCCTGTTGACCTCATCTCCAGCCAGCCATCTGTGTCTGCTATTCAGTTAGCCCTAGGGGAGCCAACTCACTTTTGCTACCCTGCACCATTTATACAATCCCCTTATGATCCACTCTATGTGGCTCTGCATGTGCAGCCAGCCCATAATAGTCATCTTCTTCTGGCAGTGTTGTTGGCCAAGGATTCTGGGCATCAGCAGATGTGCCAGGTCTCCTGAGGACACTGTGCAGTCATGGTCCTGATACCACTCGGCTCTTGTCCAGCAGCAGTTAACTCTCTCATGCCCAACTCCTGTCTGTCCAGGCACTTCACTGAAGGATTTCTGACTCCCATACTCTTCACAACATCCATCCTAATTATTATACACGTGCTGTGATCATAGTCTCTCACCCCTACCCAACTGAAACACACGTCACCTTCTTCATTCTAACTATATCCTTGTCCTTTCTTGCTCAGCCCTTCTTACTGTAGAATAAAAGTTAAAACTTTGTTATTATAAGAGTTTATAACAGTTGAAGATTAGAGGACCTGGTGCAATGGCTCAGTTAGCTAATCCTCTGCCTTAAAGCACCAGGATTCCTTACGCATAGTGGTTCATGCCCCTCCTGCTCTGCTTCCCATCCGGCTCCCTGCTTGTAAGCTGGGAAGGCAGCAGAGGATGGCCCAAATCCATGGGACCCTGTACCCACACGGGAGACCAGGTTGGGGAGGGTTGAGCTCTTTGGCTCCTGGCTTTGGATCAGCTCAGCTCTAGCCATTGTGGTCACTTGGGGAATGAACCAGTGGATGGAAGATATTTCTGTCTTTCCTCCTCTCTGTAGAGACAAGTTTCCAATAAAAGTAAATCTTTTTAAAAATAGTTTAAAACTAGAAAAAAATTTAGTTGTTCAACTTAAGAGAATTCAAGAAATATCTCATGGCTCCTTGACACAATGGATTATTATTTGGCCAACACAAAACAACGCTATAGAAGCAGGTGGATAACAAGAATGCTATCCATTACCCAATTTTAAGGGAAAAAATGCAAAATAGGTTTCTCTTCCTTTTTTTTAAATAAATGACTTTTTTATTGCAAAGTCAGATATGCACAGAGGAGGAGAGATAGAGAGGAAGATCTTCTGTCCAATGATTCACTCCCCAAGTGACCGCAATGACCAGTGCTGTGCCAATCCAAAGTCAGGACCCAGGAACTTCCTCCAGGTTTCCCACACCAGTGCAGGGTCCCAAGGCTTTGGGCTGTCCTCGACGGCCTTACCAGGCCACAAGCAGGGAGCAGGATGGGAAGTGGAGCTGCCAAGATTAGAACCGGCGCCCATATGGGATCCTGGTACATTCAAGACAAGGACTTTAGCTGCCAGGCCACCACGCCGGACCCAAAATAGGTTTCTGTAACTACAGAAATACTCATCAAGTTGGCATCAGTTATACAGGTTTCAGGTTTGTAAGATTATGGTTGATACTTTCTACATGCTACTAAAAAACACCACTGTGTTTTTCACAGGTAATGTGCCCAAAGTCTGTGTGTATCCTTTATTTGAAAAACTGAGTCATCCCAGCACAGCTGCAACCACAAGGCATTTTGTCTCTAGCAGCTGTAAGGTTGGGGGAACTGGGGCTGGAAAGATCAAGTGGATATTTATTCTTCAGGAGTGCTTTGGCTATTTGTGACCTCTTGTGTTTCCATGTGAACTTCTGTATTATCATTTTTATTTCTGAGAAAAATATTGGGATTTTGATTGGGATCAAGTTGAATTTGTATCTTAGTTACAGTGATATGGATATTTTGATTATGTTGATGCTGCTGATCCAGGAACATGGTAGGTTTTTCCATCTTTTAATATCTTCTGTTTCTTTTTAAAATGTTTTGTAATTTTCAGCATAGAGGTCTTCCACATTTCTGGTTTGGTTAATTCAAGGTATTTGAGATTCCTCTCCACTATTTTAATGAGGACTATACTTACAACTTCTTTCTCAATCATTTAGTTATTTGTGTATACTAGTGCCATCAATTTATGTTCATTAATTTTGTATTCTGGTATCCTGCCAAATTCTGTTATGAGTTGCACTAATCTCCTAATTGAATCTTTTGGTTCTCCTATGTAAAGAATCATGTCATCTGCAAACAGGGATAATTTTAATGCCTCGTTTCCAATTTTAATTCCTTTGTTTCTCTTGTGTAATAGCTCTGGCAAGGACTTCCAATACTATGTTTAAGAACAATGGTAAAACTGGACATCCTTGTTTACTTCCAGTTCTTAGTGGAAAAGCTCCAGTCTTTCCCCACTTAGGATTTCCCCTTAAGATAATGCCTGTGTTGGGTTTTTCATATATTGCTCTGATTGAGTTATAAAATGTTGTTTAAGGTTTTAAGCATGAAGTGATGTTGGATTTTATCAAAGGCCTTTTCTGCATCTTTTCAGATGATCATGTTGGCTTTTATTTTTTGATTTGTTGACATAGTGAATCACATTTGTTGATTTGTGAATGTCAAACCCTTCCTGCATGCCAGGGATAAATCCCACGTGGTCTGGATGAATGATCTTCCTGATGTATTGATGGATTCTGTTGGCTAGTAATTTGTTGAGGATCTTTGCATCTATTTTCATTAGGGATATTGGTCTCTCATTCTCTTTTTCTGGCTTTGGTATTAAGGTGATGTTGGCTTCACAGAGTTTGGAATGATTGTATCCCTTTCTTTGGAATATTTTGTGGCAGATTGGGTTAAGTTCTTCTTGAAACATTTGGTAGAATTCTGCAGTGAAACCATCTGGTCCAGGGCTTTTCTAGAAATCTGGCCTGTCATTTTAGTAATGGATTGTTTTTTGTTTTAGTAGTCATCTGTTGTCATTTTACCTGGATGTTCTCCATGTTTGCCTTTGGTGTTGGTAGATGTCATTCCTTTTCTCTATCAAGAGAACATCTTTAAGTCGTTATTTGTGGGGATGGTCTAAAAGAGGCAAATTCTTGAGTTTTATTTTACTGTGGAAGAATTTTATTTCATTTTCAAAGACAAAGGAAAGCTTTGCTGGTAAGTTATTCTGAGTTGACAACTTTTCCCCTTTAAAATCTGGAATATGTCACTCCATTTGCTTCTGGTCTGTAGAGTTTCCTTTGAGAGATCAGCTGTAAGTCTGTTTGGGGTTCTTCTGTGTGTTAATTGATTTTCTTCTCATGTATATTTAAGAATCTTTTGTTTGTGTTTGACTGACGAGAGCTTGATTAACATGAATTATGGCAAAGATCACTTTTTTTGTCAATCCTATTGGGAGATCTGTGTCCCTCCTAGAAGCTAGCTCCTAAGTCTTTCTCCAAATTAGGACATTTTTGTTTATTATTTCATTGAGTACATCTTTAAATCCAGCTTTTCTCTTTGTGCCTCCTGGAACTCTCATAACTCTTATATTTGGTCTTTTAATCATGTCTCTTAATTCTTGAATACTTTTTTGGCTTCATTTAGTTTTACTTCCAGCTTTTTGATTGTTTTCTCATTGTGGCAAGAAGTATTTTCCAGTTCTGAGATTCTTTCTTCTACCTCATTCATTCTATTAATGAAACATTCCACTGAATTTTTAATTTGCTCCATTGTGTCCTTCATTTCTAACAATTCTGCTTGATTTTGTTTCAGTGTTTTATTTCTTGAGTGACATATTGCTTCAACTCTTGTATGTGCTTCTTGTTGATAAGAAGCTTTATAACAAGTTTTTAAAATTCTTCATCCCACATTTTTTCACTGTACTCCTCAGTTAAATCTGGCAAAGGATTTTGCTCCTTTGCAGGGGAAGCATTAGTAATATTCATTATGCCTTTGTCTCTTGCTCTTGGACATCATATTTCTGGTTAGCAGATTCCTCTCCTTAGGGCTGGTCCAAGCTATGTTGC